AACAAAAGCTTGTTTTTAAAAAGGTTTTTAACTTTTAATTTATCATGAAATAACTTCCACAGATTGCAAGAAAGTGAGGGATATGTTACAATCCAAAAAGATAGAAATAGATAAACGAAAATGAGATTTTATACATCACATATTCAGTCTCTCCACAATGAGAACTCAAACTCAAACTCTCTTTATTTCATTTTTTTTTAAATTGTTTGAAATCGTCTTTTAATGTGACTCTAAAGTCATAGATCTACACACACAAAAGCAACAATCTCTGTTTTGTTAAATAGTAAGCAAATAAATTTAACAAAAACCAAACCCATACAAAATCTATGATATGCCTGTGCCGATCTACAACCGCCTGTTTCCAAGGGGTTGAGCCTTATGAGAAGAAAGGGCAAACAAACTCATGGCCACTCTTTTGTCTCATATTTCTCTATTGCTCCTTTTTTTTGGATGATCTCTATTCTTTGCTGTATTAGCCCTATTAACGTGATCACATTTTTTTACGATGATCAGTCAAGTAGTTAAGCCAAGAAAACGTAACATACTTCCATTCGCATTATTAACATGTTCTGCTTATTTTTTATCCATTGAAAGCACTTGTTTATGGATCTAAAGTACACTAGTTACTGTTTTGTACGCCTGTACCTTGGTGACGGATTAAGAATACGGAGTGTTACCACCCCTATTCATCCTGTGGGTGTCGTAAGAGTCGACTAAGGGAGCAAACTACTTAGGAAAACAGCACTGCAAAGAGAACGAAAACTTAACATAAACCCTATACCAACCCGCCTGACCATCGTGGTATAGTAGGCAAAAACCTCCTTTCTAAGGAGAGGCCTATGTCCAGCAGTGGACTATTAAAGGCTGTTGATGATACCTTGACAAGAGTACGTAAGCAAGATGAGGCGATGATCAATTAAGAAATTAAGGCTTTAAAAGCAAAAGAAACAGACAAATAAATTCAAAATCTCAATAAAAAAAAACATATTCAAAATGTTTTATTTTCTAAAGTTAACCCCTGCCCTAAGAACACTTTACAAACCTACATGAAACGGTCACAAAGAATACCCAAACTCAGAACAACAATTTGTGGATAACACAAAGTGTTGTCCTATGTGGGTATCGAACAACACTTAGCGCAGTAGGAAACGGCGAGATGACCGCTTAAACCACTACGCCATCCGTGCAGAATGTACGATATATAACAATAAGTATTAAGATTATAGCTACGGTATTATTACGTTATAAGGCTTAGAATGAATGCGGTTATTGATAATAATTTAAATAAGTGTCATTAACTTTCTCATTAAACTGTACGGACACCTTGTGGTTATGAATTGAATATTATCGATGATTTTATGATTAAGTCTATTGTACTTTTAAGTGAGAACTTATATTATGTAACATACTGGATCAAACGTAGGATAGATATACTTTTAACTTAGGACCAAATAGAGCTTATTGAAGATGAGCTACGCCACTCAGTATGTTTCTCAGAAAATAAATTTAAAGTCAAGCAGAAGCCAACGTATGCTCTGTTTCAGAAATGCTGTCAAGCTAGACAGCCATGCTATTTCTAGAACTTTCTATTTGTTACTCTTACTTGCCATGATAATCTCAAGATCCTAGGCAATGCATATATATGGAAAGAGTTTGGATGACGATCCAATTTTACATATGTTTAATATATAAATCGGTGGTTTAAGCGGTCGCCACGCCGCTTCCTACTACGCCGTGTTGTGGATTCAAACCCCACATGGGACGACACTTTGTGTGATTCACAAATTGTTGTTCTGAGTCTGGGTGTTCTTTGTGTCCGTTTCATGTATGTTTGTAAAGTCCCCCGCGACACAGGATATATTCCTAATGCGGGAGTTGTCTTTTTAAAAAAAAATAAAAAGTAAATGATAAAAATTCCACAATTATTCTTTCAGGTGACAATTCTGTATCCAAAAGTATTTTATGCTACTAAACTTCGTAATCATGGTTCACAATACGAGCTAAAAATATTAAGACACTCTTTATAAGACATTTTATGTATTGTGCTGGCTCTCTCAATTCCTTTAAACTGGCCTTAACCTGGCCTTTTCCTTTTAACTTATATTTTCAAGAAAAATGTGTGAACTTACTTAACGAAAAAACATACGACACAAAAAACTTAAAAAAATATGTAAACCGCCTTCCAAACAAAAATAAAACTAAATCAAAATCGCGTGCAGTGCAGTGCAGTGACACATCTAATGCGAGGCCTTGAGCTTGCGTGAATCAATCGATTAATTCCACTAAGTAATAATAAATAATAGGTTTACTCGTATCAACATATAGATGACTGGACACAGATTACAGCATAATATAATTATAAAAATAATTACATGACACATCTTACGCACGGCCGTCTGATCAAAAATTTGGCAGAGCCTGTACTATGGTAACCAGACTGCTGATTAACACACTTATATATTTCAAAAACCATACATATCAGGACCAGCTTTTACCCGCGGATTCACTGCCGTTTTATCGCCGTAACATTTCCATACCAAATCTCATCTGAATCGGTCCAATTCAATTTCAGTTGTTATAACCGCAGGCAACGCCCCGGGGCGAAGCTAGTCTAAAAAAAGTAGCCTCAGTTACTCCTTATGTCATCAGCTATCTGCCAGTGAAAGTCCCGTCGAAATCGGTCCAGCCGTTCCAGAGATTACCCGGAACAAACAGACAGACAGACAAAAATTGAAAAAAATGTTATTTTGGCATATGTACCGTGTAAACATACATATGCATTTAGTAAAAAGCGGTTGTTTTAATATTATAAACAGACACTCCAATTTTATTTATTTGTATAGATGGATAAATAACCCAGACAGAACAAACGATCGTGCACGTCACACAATTATGTGTCCTGGGTGAGAATCGAACCAACGACCTCTGGTTTAGAAGTCAGGGTCACTAACCAGACCAGTCCAATATCGTTTACGTATTTTATTATTGTTCACGAATTTCTTATTATATTTCGAATGAGTTCTAGAAGTTATTAACATAAATTATGTATTCGGAACTAAAACTTGACTTATATGGTAGAGGACTTATAAGGAGAGGCCTATGTCCAGCAGTGGACTGTTAAAGGCTGTTGATGATGACGATGATGATATGGTAGATATACTTAAGGTGGCGCCAAGGTTTAGATGAAATCGTACTTCTCAAAGGCCACAGTCGAGGCAAATGGACAAAAATAAGCCCTGTGACTCATCTGGGTCGTAATAATAAAACTTAATAATGTAGGTCAATAACAAAAGCCCACATAAATATTATCATTTAAGATTTTTTAATGATAAAACTATAGTGAAAGGACTTATAAATGGCACTGCTTTTAATTCCACGCATGTGACAGAAATAAAAAAAATGTCTCTGACTCTATTTTTTTTAAAGACTTAGACTTTACAAACATACATGAAACGGACACAAAAAACATCCAAACTCAGAACAACAGTTTGTGGATCACATAAAGTGTCGTCCCATATGGGGATCGAACCCACAACACTCAGCGTACTAGGAAGCAGCGTGGTGACCGCTTAAGCCACTAGGCTATCCGTGCAGTCAGTATTCTTATAATATAGCAAATAGATTTTGGCTGTAGAATGTGCGCAGCGGGCCTCTTGAATTAGTGAGCCTGACTTCTAAGGGCGTGTGCTCGATTGGACCCAGGACAAACAATTGTGTGATGAGCAGGATCATTTGTTCTGTGTCTAGGTCTAATTTATCTATAATATGTGTGTATTTGAAAATATACAAATATGTTCTTCAGCATAAATAAAAAAAAACTAAATAAACACGCCTTCTGCGATATTATATCGTCTCCGTATTATTATCGGTCATCACAGCTAGTAAAACTTTACTATTTTACTACGAAAATACCTTTTGTGACAGTTGTGAGATCGAAAGTTGATTGGAACTAAATTGTGACCGAACTTTTATTACGAAAATTAGCTTCTGGTCGACACCTTTAAGCTGTCCAAAACTTCACGCCCAATCTATCTCGTTAATGTAATCTCAAATCTTTGAATGTCAGCTACATTATGTTCTTCTATTATCAAACATTGGAAACACACTGCTTCTTCTTCTAAGAAGAATGTTTGATAACGGCAGGTATCCACTTTCGACCTGCTATGATTATAAGATCAACTGTCCACTTTCTGGACGTCCTACACTGATATTTTCGGACATCTGCTCTGTTCCTGTACCTGTTTCGTTGATCTATATCAATAATCTTGGTTCGTCTTCGTATGTCCTTGTTTCTTATGTATTGAGAATAGCATAGCCCTCTCCATAGCTCTTCTTACATTAAATAATCCAAACAGAGTACCAAAATACAGAAAGCACACAAATTAGCCGACTATGAATATTTAACAGTTCCTCTCGGTAGGTTGGCTTAATAATGCTCGTTATGGAATATAGCATTTACAATAGGCGTAATAAATGGTAAGTTCATCGCTTATTACTAATAAAATTACTGTTACAACATATTCATGTTCGTAGTTTGCATAAAATCTTCGACGGGTACATGAGTATCACAACCGACGATGAGGGCGAGGCTTAGACCTTTTACAGTCTTAGACTTTTATAACAATAATTTTATTCGTTGCCACAGAGTCTATCATCACATGAACAATCTTTAATAGTCCACAGCTGGACATAGGCCTCTCCTTAGAAAGGAGGTTTTGGCCTACTATACCACGCTGGCCAGACGGGTTGATCTAGGGTTTCTTTCAAGTTTTCCTTCTATTTGCAGTTGCTGTTGTCCTGCGTAGTTTGCTCCCTTAGTCGGCTCTGACGACACCCACGCGTTGAATAGGGGTGGTGACATTCCGTACTCTTAATCCGTCACTACACGGACAGTATTACATAATAATAAAATAATTTAAATTAAAAATTTTTCCTGGAAAAGAAAACCTTCTCTTCCAAATGAATGATAAATAATATAATATAATAATTTGGGTACTCACTTATTTGTGTGATCATTTTCAATGAATCCAATTTTGGTATCGATGCGCACTGACGCTGCCTCTGGCCATCGCCATTGGTCCGCACTACTTCTAGTCACCACCACAAGCACACACCAAAACGTACCTGTAAAAAACATAGAGGAATAAAAATTACTACCCAATATAAAAAACGGCGTGAGGGGTCTATGGACCTTCAGTCTGAACGAAGTTCCTTTTTGCTTTTTGATAGACTTTTGCAATATATATGAAATATAAAAAAGTTTTGAGTATGTATACCAGTTGTCTAGTACCCATAGTACAATCATTTCTTAGTTTGGGACTAGATGACGTTGTGCGAATGTGGTAGAATTAAAAGAAAAAAAAGCTTTATGCTTTAAAGATTTTTTGGTTGTGAGAGCCATGCTTTGGCACAAATTGGTTGGACTAAACCGAACTCTATCGTTGCTCTTCACAAAGTGAGTGGGGTTACTGGAGCCGAAAACCCTGATTTCTCATATTTCTGGGGTGTGACTTAAAGGGCAGTAATAAATTTGTGACTCTTAAGTTGTAGGTGTCCTTAGGAGGCGGTAATTCCTTACCCATAAATAAGGTCTGTTCTTTTGATCGCTAAATAAAAAATTGCTCAAACAGAACAAGGTCACATTTCTACATTCAAATTGCCCACTGCCACAAAGTTAGAGCCCGTTTACCTCAAAATTTATATGTTATTTAGAAATATACGCTTATACTAGTAAAAACCTTTTTTCCGGATATATTTTTCAGGTTTCAACACTGATAATAATAACAATTTAGCACCTTATTGATGTATATTTTTAATTCCGAAATTTGTGGCAGCTTACGTAACTTAACTTTGGTATCCATTTGATTCTCATCATCATCAACTTCAACAGCCTTTAACAGTCTACTGCTGGACATAGGCCTCTCCTTAGAGAGGAGGTTTTGGCCTACTATACCACGCTGGCCAGACAGGTTGGTATAGGGTTTGTGTCAAGTTTGCCTTCTTTTGGCAGTATTGTTGTCCTGCGTAGTTTGCTCCCTAGTCGGCTCTTACGAAACCCACGGGATGATTGGGGGTGGTGACAATCCGTATTCTTAATCCGTCACCACACGGACATTTGATTCTGCGAGTAGTACCTTCATATTACCCCAATTTACACAACGATAAACAAGCTATGAACATGGACTTTGTCAAACATTGCAATGTACCACCTAATACAACGATACCTTACATTGTCAGTACTTGCCACGTGTAGTAATGGTGTACAAAATGCAGCTACAAGTGTTTAAAAAACAATTTTGATTATTATTAAAATAGGCAGTAAATCGTCTCTTAAGCGTGCGTAACGTGTTTAAAAATCATGTAATTATTGTCCCTAGCCAATGAATATTGATTAAATCATTGTATGATATAATCTCTACACAATAGATAGTATCCTGATGCTTATTTAATGATGGTGATTCATGCTTATATATTGAAAACAAACTACACACTGCTTACGGTTCTAGGGCCGTGGAATTTACAAATATCGAGTACTAGTTATCAAAAACATGAAACAATTTTGATCTATGTTAAAACCAAAGCTATACGTGAATAAGCGGTATCTTCGTTGTCTGTTAAACATCGGGTGTTGTGTGTGTCGATTTAAAAGCAGTTTAATAAGGACGATGTTAAAACAACTGAATATTTAGTTTTTTTTACTAAGTAAAACCAGTATTCAAAACTTTTCATCTGTTAAGGAGTTAAGTTACTAAAGACTAAGAGACATTTATTTTTAATGACAATAACAATGCTTTCCGAAGCTCATATAAAGAAGAAACATTTGAAAACGATTGAAAATACCGGTGAAGTGCGAATTGTACTTGCGTGGAGAGGGTTCCGTGCTATTAAAAATTAACATTATCGTTGAAATCAATTCTCACATAAATTAAATTAATTGTTGAAATTCATAGACATCTTATAGCTTTTTTGTAATCTAAAAACAACAAAAAACATTTTTTTTTGTATATTTAAACAACAATGGTCAATGGTTTCAGAGATTACCAAAACAACAGTAGCTAATTTTCATATCATAGAAGATACGATATTACGTAAAAATTAAATTAAATTAAATTACGTAAAATAAAACATATTATAAAAAATGTTTCATTACCAATCCATACTAGTCCATACGAATATTATAAATCCAAAATTGCGTCTGTCTGCTGTCTCTTTACGCTTAAAAGGCTGAACGGATTTAGATGATATTTTGGCATAGAGATCTTCCGAGTCCTGGGAAAGGACATAGGGTAGTTTTTATCTCAGAAATCAACCTATAAGAGGATGTTGTAAAGTCCCCCGCGACACAGAATCCTAATGCGGGAGTTGTCTTTTTAAACAAAAAAAGAAAGAAAATGAAAAAAATATTCATATCAAGACTAATATTATAAATTTATGCAGAAGTGTGTCGGTCTGTTGAACCGATTCGTATGAAATTTGGTATAGAGACAGTCAGAGTCCCGGAAAAGAATATGGTTAGTTTTTATCCCAGAAATCATCCTATAAAGGGGTGAAAAGGGGGTGGAAGTTTATATGGGGAATCAATAACCGCTAAACTCGCTATTATCAGTAGTTAACTTTTGCAATGTTATTATTGTTTGTATTGACTTAATGAATTTAACAGTAATTTAATTTAATCAATTTTCATTAATTTATTTACTTCTAATTTGTGTAATAGTAATTTCTGATTCAAAATGTTATGTTTGACTCTTAATGCAGGCTGTGATCTTCTGTAATTAAGAATACACCAGATCAATAATTTATTATTCTCTGTGAATGCTATGTGATATTCTTGTTGAAGATCCTTAAATAAATAAATAAATAAACTGATTTAGATCAAATTTACGCAAAAACTAGTTGTAAATAATAGCCATCTTTCAAGTTCATTATATAAGTATCTGTGTGTGGTCGAAGACGTTTAGTAAAAAGCTGTAGTGTATCTGATATTTTATTACGTATTGACTAAAGATTCGAAGATCGACCGTTTTGAATGTTTTGTTTTATTTTAACGACCACTATGACTCGAACTATTGCCTTTGTGGTGCAGTGGTAACGTATGCGACTGTTGTGCTCTGATGTCGGGTTCGATTCCCAGGTCGGACCAAATGTTTGTATGATTTGCAAATATTTTTTTCGGAGTTTGGGTATTTTCTATGTGTGTGTTTAAGTATATAGGTATTCTATCAGTCAATATAACTTTAATAGTACAAGCTCTGCTTAGTTTGAAACTAGATGGCGTTGTGTGTCAGATGTCCGAATATTATTACTATCGTTAGGTATATAGACTGACCAATTTAAGTTGAACTCTCACTGTTTACATTTTTGTACCATGACGGATGATGGTATACTGGATAAACATTGTTTTATGTAGCTGTATTTACATAATTTTTAAATTTCTAGAATACGAGATGGTGCCCGTGACTATGTTCGCGTGAAATTTAAAAAGCGCTGTTTTTTCTACGAGAAAAGCCTAAGTTACTCAAAGTAAAATTTTATCAAAATCGGTCTAGCCGTTTTATAGATTACCCTGAACAAACAGAGAGAAAGACAGACAGAGAGACACACAAAAAAGATTTAAAATGGTTTTTAGGCATAGGTATAGTGCAAATAACCGTGTAAGCATGAAAAAACCCTATTATTTTGACATTACAAACAGACACTTCAATTTTATTTATTTATATAGATATTGTTAAAAAAATCTGATTTCTGCACTTTTTTCTATTTTCAAACGAAGTGCACCAAATGTAATATGCTACCGACCGCAACATTGGTTTTAAAAAGATTATACAAAGGATTATCTTCACGTAATAATCAAAGTAAATGTTCTCTCGGTTGTAAACCAGTACACGAGTCTGCCTCACCTTCTGTCACTGCCTCGAGCGCTTTGGGTTCAAGTCAAATAATTATGTGACAATATTTGTTAAATTAGTTAGATGCAGTATGCGTTCATTGATGTAATTTCTACCCATTACTCGAAAACTAGTGGGCTGGCCATATTAGCCGCAGAACCGATAACCGTTGGGGAAAACGAGTTCTTGAGTGGAGACCGCGTCTCGGCAAACGTAGTGTAGGACGCCCACAGGCCAGGTGGAGTGACGATTTGCGCAAGATGGCTGGCAGGAGCTGGATGCGAGAAGCCCAAAATCGATCTAAGTGGCGTGCAATGGGAGAGGCCTATGTCCAGCAGTGGACTGCGATAGGCTGACGATGACTCGAAAACTAGATTATGATTGCATTTTATAGGCTTATTTCTTGGCACAAGGAACACTAAGAAAAACACAAAAGCCTATTATACATACGGTCTGAACAAAAAACAATGGTTTTGATACATTGAGTTACACTTATACTTTTAAGTTTAAGAATACGGAGTGTCACTGCCACTATTCTAAGCGCCGACTAAGGGAGTCAACTACGCAGGACAACAACACTGAAAAGAGAAGGTACACTTGACACGTACCCTTTTTTTTCTTTTTTTACGTGTGGAAATCCCCTCGGACCGTCACCCCACCGGGGTTTGCGGCGGGGTGGTGTGTCGGACTCGGACCGACTAAAACCACACGGTGTGCCACTCTGCGCCTGTAATAGGAGGGATCCGGGAACAGCTGTTATTACGACATCCGGACCCCTCCTAGCGCCGGCTCGCTCCTGTTGCGGGCTCCGTCTCAAAATTTTCCTCTCTTTAGGAGACGTCCGGCACACGCGGACGCCGCCCCCTCACGGCTGGCCAAACTAATGCGGATGGAGGGGAGAACCCATCCCGTCCACCCGCGGCCACACTTAGGGCGGCATGAGGCGCAGGTAAGCGCGCCTCCGCCGCCCGGTTCGCCGGCGGTGGATCGGGTCCGAGTGGAGGTCGTCTTCCCGGGCCTTCTCCGCCGCCTTCTTCTGCGAGATTACTTCCTCGCAGAAGGTTGCGACCGCGGTAAAACAACTGTAGCTACCGGCTATGGAGCGAATTACGGCCGGTAGCGAGAGATCTGCTCCGATGACTGCAGTGAGGGCCCGGCGCTGCGTCGCCCATGCGGGGCAGACCGCCAGCGTGTACTGGGCCGAGTCCTCACTGCAGTCGCAGTGGTGGCAGGCGGGACTCGATTCGATCCTAGCGACCGAGTACAGGTACTTTCCGAAGCAACCGTGCCCGGAAAGCACCTGCGTCAGCCGGAAGGTAAGGGTCCCGTGCTGCCGCCCTGCCCACTCGGCGATGACCGGCTGGAGGGCCTCCACGGCGGCGAAGCCAGCGCGTGGAGTCTCCAGCCGGAACGACCATCTGAGCATGGTGGCTCGGCGAGCGGCTACGCGCCACTCGCGCACGTCTTCGGGCGGAGGGCGAAATCCGCTCTCCGCCCGGAAGTCAGCCACTCGCCGATAAACTTCGGCGAGCACCTCCGCCTCCAAATCCCACGGGAGTGTTCCGGCCAAGGTGGTTTACACCGTGCGGTATCCGGGTATGGCCCTATTCGGGGCGGTCAGAGCCGCCACCCACACCGGTGCACCATACAGCGCCATAGACCGGACAACCCCCGCGTACAGCTGCCTCGTGGGAACACTGGCCCCTCCGTAATTGGGCAAAAGTCGCCCTAGGGCGGAGGCAGTGTCCACCAGCTTCGGACCAAGCTGTCGGAAGTGCTCGTCGAAGAGCCACCTACCGTCTAGGACCAGACCCAGGTACCTCATCTGGGCCCGGACCGGTACGAGGACCGAGCCGACCTCGATTGAGGCGCCGGCGGGTGGACCACGACGGGGCCCATGAAATAATAGGGCCTCCGTCTTATCTAGGGCCACCCGCAAACCCAACGCCTCAATGCGCCCGACCACCTGGGAAACTCTCGTGGCGGCCAGGCGCGCCGCCTCCTGGAAGTTAGCCCCCCGGGCCGTGAGTAAGGTGTCATCCGCGTAGCAGATTACACGCAGCCCGGGGGGGAGACGCCCTCGTAGGGCCCAGTCGTACCCGATGTTCCACAGGAGAGGTCCTAGGACAGACCCCTGCGGAACACCGCACGACATGGCCCTGCGTCTCAAGACGCCATCTCGGTCCTCGTACATGACGGTTCGCTCCTCAAGATAGTCTGCCACCAGCCGCCTCAGGTACTCCGGCACTCAGTGGTAGCGGAGCGCTTCCCTGATGCACTTGACACATACCCTATACCAACCCCCACAGCGTGGTATAGTAGGCCAAAACCTCCTTTAGAGATGAGATCCCCCCCCCCCCTTTTTATTTAATTTCTGTGCGGTAATCCCCTCGGATACCACTTACCGGTGGCAATGTCGGACTCGAACCGACTAAAACCGCAGGTACCAGTAGAGGGGGAACCAGGTGTACCCTAGAAAGGAAATCCCTGGTGCCCCGACGTACCTCGGGCCATCTACGGCGGGTAGACAACCCTCCCTGTGTGGGAACCCCCATGTTCCCTCTGTGCTCCCGGAAGGGCGCGCGCGCTTCATAACGCGCTCGCCGTCACCCCGGCTTGTTCCTGCTCGGGTGACAGATGGCCTCACCTGTCACCAGAGATTTCCCCCCGTAGGAATATATCCTGTGTCGCGGGCACTTAACATACATGAAACGGACACAAAGAACACCCAGGCACAGAAACACAAAGCGTTGTCGACACTGACCGGTTACCGGTTAAACCACTGAGCCATCTGTGCAGTCGAAATTGTGTACAAACTTACAAAAAAACGACAAGCCTTCTACCATCTATCGACTACATGAATTATAATCTATCAGTCTAGTAAGGAAATACAGCACGGATCTTAAATGTTACTATCACTATTTTATTACAAAAAGTGGCAAAATAAAACTAAACTAGGTTAAACTAGATCTTACTACATAAAATTGTTACTACGTAATCGAACAAAAGTGTTTTACGTTACACCTAGCATTGGTCGACTGTCCACTGGTCGAAATGAGACAATAATCATATTGACTGGTGTACTAGTAGTACTATTAAATAAACAGTAATAATAACTTTACACATCTCACACATGGCAGTCATTAGACTCATTCACTCATTCAGTCATTCATTCACGGCAGTCGTTAGAGTCTGATACTCTGTTTTAGGGATTACCCTAAAACAGACCCTGTACTATGGTAACCAGACTACTGATAAACACACTTAAATATTTCTAAATACATCTCGTACATCTATACTAATATTATAAAGCTGAAGAGTTTGTTTCTTTGTTTGTTTGAACGCGCTAATGTCAGGAACTACTGGTACGATTTGAAAAATTCTTTCAATGTTAGATAGCCCATTTATCGAGGAAGGCTATAGGCTATATATCATCACGCTAAGAGCAATAGGAGCGGAGCACCACTGAAGAATGTTTCAAAAACGGAGAAAATTTATTACTATTGAGAGACGCAAACGAAGTTGCGCGGGTCATCTAGTCTAATAGATAAATTCGAGGGGCCTGTTGATCTAATGGTGAGAGCCTGACTGCTAAGCCAAATGTAGTGGGTTCTTTAGAAATATATAAATATGTATATCAGCAGTCTGGTTACTACGTTTTTTTAGTTGTTTTTAACTATAATTTATTTTTGTTTTTTAGGCATTAATGATGATTACTTTCTCATTAAGACAGAAAGTAATAAGTACGTAAGTCGCATATGCTTCAGCAGACGCCTCTTAATATGTAGCAAAAGACTACCGTATTTTTAGGTATGGAAAAAGCTGTTAATCCTGAAGGTGCTGATCAGAATAATCGGAGAAATTTATCGAATTATTATATTGTCATCGGTCCTTGATAAGTGTGCTAAGTTTTCATCTAATTCGAGGTTTTGAAGTGGTTCAAATACACGTTTGAAGATTCCGTTACATACATACCAAATTATAAAAGCGTGTTAAAAAAAAAGAAAAGGGTTAGAACTTAGAGAAACAAAATGTCAATGAATGTTTTGTTTTATTGCATCATCAACAACCTATAACAGTCCACTGCTGGCCATGGGCTGGCAGGCTTTCCTTCTCTTTTTGCAGTACTGTTGAGCTGCGTAGTTTGCTCCCTTAGTCGGCTCTTACGACACCCACGGGATAAATAAGGGTGGTGACATTCCGTATTCTTAATCCGTCACCACACGGACTACTTTTTAGGGTTCCGTACCTCAAAAGGTAAAAAAGGAACCCTTATAAGGTCACTTTCTTGTCTGTCTGTCTGTCTGTTCGTCTGCCCGTGTGTCACCACCGATTTTCTAAGGAACGATTAGACCTAGCAAGTTTAAATTTATATCAGATACTATGGTCTATGGTCCCTATTAGGTGTATAAAAATCAAGGTCCTGAGTCAAAACGATAAAAAGATATGGGCAAATTTCGATTTTTGCGAAAACTGAAAATTAAGATAAATTTTGGTACTTTTAAATTTTCCTGTAAATCTACGTAAAATCTGGGTAGGTACGGAACCCTCGGCGCACGAGTTCGACTCGTACCTGACCGTTTTTTTTTATTGCATGGACAATGGACATGTATTACTTGAACTAATAGTTGTAAAGACTACCCGGGCTAGAACAACATTATCATCGACATTTATAGACCTTTATAGCCCTTCATAGCCTTCAATAAATAATTTTTAAATTTTCAACATATACGAGTATTCTTTGACAATTTTAGCTTTCAAAACTTCACTTACTAATAATACACTTACAATAAATTATTACATTTATAAACTTAATAACTACCGTTGGGATGTATCCGCACAGAGAGAAAAAAGTAGTCCTATTAACGTAGGTATTCCTACGTGTGCAAAATTAGTTTAAAAATAAATAATTTAAATTCACTTTTAGTAGTATAATTCTCACTAATAATGAATTTTCTTATAGACTGGATGTGTGCAATATATGTAAATATATCTAATTTACAAAGGTCTTATAACCATTTATAAACATACAGATTTTATATTTGGTTCGGTTGTACACTGATTGGGCTGTTATTTGATTGAGATAAGAATGTGGGCGCCTTTAAGGGTTTCGTAAATCTTAGATATTTGTATCCTACAATTTCTGACATTGTGAGTTAATACAGAGTGGAGCTTATGTACCCCTGTGTACATCCTACATTTGACAATTTTTTCTTGTGTGGTCAAATATTTAAATATGAATTACTAGCTGTACCCTGCCACGTTGTTTTTGAATCGTTCACAAGCTTTTCGTGGTTTTAATTTTCATGTGCAAAATGGTTTTGTATTTTTTTAATTGTGCATACAAATATTTAAAAATTCTTTATATTCTATCAACATCCTTGGTATGAAATATCCATAGATCCCAAATATGTAATCACTTTAGAGATACAATATTTCAGTCACTTTAAAAATGAAATTTCTATTTTAAATTTTCCTAAATTTGTTGGATTTTTATGAGGTCTTCTCACGGTTTCTTATACACTCTTGAAATATAACCCCACAGTTTGGTAATATACTGTTAAGAATCCTGGGTTTTTTCATAAAAAAATTTGGGCTTTGTTTAAAAAAATAAATTACTAAACAAAAAGTTATTAGTACCATTTTGTTTAAAGGAGTACTCTAAGGTGATGATATTTTGGACAGTTATTTATCTGAATATAGTAAGTTAAGTGTTAAAGTTGCAATATAAAATCCATAAAATAGGGTTAAATATTTTCTTTGGCTATGGAAATTTATCTAATAGATTAAGTCGAATTTTAATAACTGTATCACGTCTGAAACATTTTTAAAATTAGCAAAAATCATATTATTTAAAATGTTGCATATTAAAAGCAAATTTTGTATATTTCACAAATTTTCATAAAAAAAAAATTACTTAAAAAATATAATACACTAAAAAATTAAAAATAACGATAAAATAAAAAATACACACCTAATTTCATTTTAAGTTTCAGTCTTCTCACTAAAATATTTGTTGTACTTATAACCTATAAGTTAATAATTAATCACCACAAACAAAAATTTGTGTTAGTTCGTTTGGAGCGCGCGTTCAGTCGGCTCTCTGTTATGTAACTGCACGTTGTGCGGCTGCGCAGACCGATTTCAGTTGCACTGACCAACATGCGCATACTCCGGGGCGCTAAAATGTTACTAAAAACACTATCGCTTCATACGTGACAGTGTGAAAAAATAATACATGTCGGCTGGCTCAGCCAGAGGTCGTGGGTTCGATTCCCACCCAGGACAAATATTGTGTGATGAGCACAGTCATTTGTTCAGTATCTGGGTGCACTATATCTATAATATGTATGTATTTAGAAATATATAAGTATGTTTATCAGCAGTCTGGTTACTATAGTACAGGCTCTGCCTAGCTTAGAATCAGGCGGCCGTGTGTGAGATGTTTAAAAATATAATTAAATATTATTATTATCATGTAAGAATGTAGATCGTGTCATTCATCATCATCTGCCTATCGCAGTCCACTGCTGGACATAGACTTCTGACAACATGCGCTATAACATACTTGATCTTCCGCAACCATTTTCTTAGCTATTATCTCCATATCGTAAACAGATAAAGATTAGTACAACAACAACAACAACAGCCTTTAATAGTCTACTGCTGGACATAGGCCTCTCCTTAGAAAAGAGGTTTTGGCCTACTATACCACTACAGATTAAGAATACAGAGCGTCACCACCCCTATTCATCCTGTGGGTATCGTAAGAGGCGACTAAGGGAGCAAACTAGGCAGGACAACAGCACTGCAAAGAGAAGGAAAACTTGAAAAAACCCTATACCAACCCGTCTGGCCATCGTGGTATAGTAGGCCAAAACCTCCTATTAGTACATGTTAAACATATTATATGATTTAATGACCAGCCGTTTGTTTAGTGGTTAGTGATTCTGACTACTAAACCAGGGATCTTGGGTTCGATTAACGACCAGAAAAAAAATAATTGATAAGCACGAAAATTTGTTCTGTGTCTGGGTGTAATTTATCCATAATATGTTAATTATGTATTAAGAAATATATAAATACGTTTATCAGCAGTCTGGTTACCATAGTACAGGGTCTGCTTTTTTTGCAGATGACCGTGTGTAAGATTTATTGTTATTAGTAATTATATACATTTAGGTCGTTATATCAAACTTCTTCAGAGGAATTGGTTGTTGAAATCAGGGCAGAGCGTCATTTTAGGGCCGCCATATTGTAAAGTTTCGTGTTTAAAGTTGAAGGTTATTGCCGCCCACAATCTCTATTGCCTTCTAAATCAGATCGAAGACGAAAAGTTCTATCGGAGGAAATATTATAATAAGAGACTCCGTAGATGGCCATAGGTCAACAAGACAAAAGACCTTTTGGCACTGTGTAAAATGCAAAGGTCTAATTTTCAGGGTTTCTCACTAAATAAACAAACAACATTTTCGTCATTTTTACAAAATTTACTAAACAATCTAAACTTTAAGAGCGTTATTTGTGAACAATGTGATTATGTCAACCAATCGGTGTGTACTTTTAAGTAAACATGTAATTGTCTAAATAGAACAAAAGTTCTGATTTCTAAATATAATACAGGATTAAAATTCATAACAAAGTTCCACGATACTTAATAATCGAAGAATTTTATTGTTTTAGACTGATAATAGCGCCTTTCTACAGCATTTCCGCGTCCTGAACATATTTTAGGTGTATATTTGGAAACCTAGATCGTATTGTATAATTAAGATATTTCTTTCTGCCGTATTTTTTTTTGAGACCAGTTTCCATTGCAACATTTACCAGTGTGCGTTCATTACATCAACTTCACGTACGGATGAATTTCTCATACGAAGAGTTTGACATTCGACATAAGAAACCAAAAGCTACTCGATATAATACTTAGAAGCTACACAAACCTACAATGCATTGTATATATATGTTGACCTGTAATGATGCGAATAGTCTTTATAACGACAATAGGGTACATGACTGACAAGTCAAATCAGTATCTTTTTTTAAACGTCAAAACTGACGAGATGTCAAGTGTCCAGAACTGTCAAGAATGGACGCGATACATTTTTTTATCGAAATACTATTTTGTGACGTCATACCTACCTATTGTCAAATCATTTATATTTAATGTTGATGTCGAGATCAAATCAATAAAAATATCAAATTGATAATAGAGGACAATTCAGGCTCTATTTTAAGATATTACATTTAATGGTGCAAGCGAAACAATTTATTTTAAACCTAAGAATATACCCCATTCAACTTATACTAGAAATGAAGTACTTGGTTTATATTACAGATAAGTAAATGAAATAAAATAAAAATGTTACGTGGTTGAGCTTTAGCAAAAATGGCCCAGCTCGACAGGGGTGATACGACTTCCAGCCCCGGATCTGCGATTTTTCGAACCGGGGCAGAAACTTGATAGTGGCGCCCCTCTTTGTTGTGTGGGTCTGTGTGCCGCCTTCTTCTTACAAGTCGACGGTGAGCCAACCAGGCTTCCTTAAGCTAGGTTTTTTATTTTTAATCATACTTTATTATGATTTTGGGAGCCCCTGAAACTGCCGCCGGGGGCAGGTGCCCTGGTTTGCCCCTTCCTAGATCCGGGGCTAATGATGGCCGCACAGAACACAGGTATTAAGCAATCGAACCCATGGCCTCCGGCTTGGCCATCAGAATTACAAACCACAACCAAGGTGACACAAAGATTCCAGCTAACTAGGACTGAATAAAAGTAATGACAAAAAATACCCACCAATTTACTTGACTGTAGTTTATGGATATCGCAATTAAATTCTCACCTGCGCAAACGCAGCTGGGAATCACGAAGGTCAAAAATAACGACCGCTATTGTTTCTTTATCAGGCCATTAGATATCAACGAACCAATTGTAATAGACTTTGCATTGTTTGCCAGATAATTGTACGTATGCAGTGGACACAGAGTTCACTGAAGCGATGGCGACTGGAAAAGCCTCTTTTGTAATGATGTAGGTGGCAAACGAACAGACAGATCTCCCGACGAGAAGTGAATCGATGCACGCCTGTAACTAAGGAGTCACAAGTGTAGTGTAGTGTTTTCCGAATCAAAGAAGAAGTAGACCCCTCGAAATCGTCTTATGAATGACGGTGTTCTGAGTCAACATACATGTGGAGGAACGGGTGTCATGTCCCTCCAACACAAAGGGAGGGTCCTCCAACCAGGCGAGGTGATCATGCCTGGCATGCCGCTGCCCAACGGTTATTGTTGGGCATTTGTATAGTATATATGCTAATCTTTGAGAGAATTATTATTATCGCGATACAGGATTACCAGTTACTCTGTAGTTCGGTGTGTCTTCGATAGATGACGCTGTAGTATGCTTTTCGTTTCATTCTATGTGGAGGTCGCCACAAACATAAAAATACCACACAAGAAAGAATATGTTTTTTTGTTCTGTGAAAAATACGACTAAAATGAGAAACTCCTTTTTTTTAAATAAACCACTAATAAGATACAAAAACCACCATTCTTTAGGATCATAACACGCTGGAAAATGCTACGTAGGTACAACCGCCGTTAATATAGAAACCTCTTCTTTACATATATCACTGTACCTATTATTCACACCAGGAGCTCGTAAGAAGGCGACCTCGGTGGTATCCGTTCCAAATGTAAGGACGGAAACAATTTCGATTTCACAAAAAAAATGATATAATTTGTACCTACGTAATAAGTTCGATCGAAGATAATTATGTTAGAGTCAATTTTGTCGGTCACGATGAATAACACGTAAAATACGCGAGTGTTGACTAAATATGCTTATGACTGCACACATGGCGTAGTGGTTTAAGCGGTCGCCACGCCGCTTCCTACTGCGCTGCGTATTGTGGGTTCGATCCCCAATGAACACCAGTATGTGTGTAGTGTGATCCACAAAATATTGTTCTGCGTCCTGGTGGTCTTTGTGTCCGTTTCATGTATGTTTGTAAAGAATATACATACATATATTCCCAATACGGGAGTTGTCTTTAAAAAAAAAAAACAAACATCCTGGCCATGTATGCCTACTGGTTAATGAGCATCACTGCTAAGCCAAAAGTCGTGAGTTCGATTCCCAACCAGGACTAAAAAAATTGTAATGAGCACGATATTTTCTTCTGAGTCTGGGTGTAATTACCAAAATAATAATTATAATATATACCTATAATAATATACCTCACACATTTCACACACGGCCGTCTGATCCCAAACTAGGCAGAGTCTGTGCTATGGTGACCAGACTGCTGATAAAAATACTTATATATTTTTAATTACATACATATTATAGATAAATTACACCCAGACACAGAACAAATGATCATGCTCATCACACAATATTTGTCCTGGGTGGGAATCGAACCCACGACCTCCGGCTTAGCAGTCAGGGGCACTAACCACTCGACCAACAGGCCCGTCAAAAATAAAAAATAAAAATAATCCACTGTTTCGAATGTGTAGGCAATATAATGATATTTGTGCTCATCTTGATATATTTCTGGAAAGCTACAGCAGATTCATGGAATCCTTGCGGAAATTGAATGCGGATATGAAATCACCCATGTGAGATGCTATGACTAAAACCAATAATTTCCATGTCTAACCCTTACCGATTAAAAACCACCCGATGTTCCTCTGCTTGCCATCGCCCCGTGGAACGATAATCGCCAAGCTTATTGCCATCAACCGGGCACACTTATTTCTAAATACGTAAATCATCATCATCTAGCTTGTCCACTGCTGGACATAGGCCTCTCCCAATGATTTCCAGCTGGAAATACGTAAATGCTACAGATGAATTATTGTTATTACATCGTAAATTCGTTTTTTCTTTGACTATATTGTTCATAGACGTAACAAAAACTTTAAGCACCTTGTATTTTTCCTAGGACTTTTTAATTAACTTTATCTGTTACATTTTTTAATG